CGCGGGTGCCGCGAAGTACTGTATCCGGCAAACCGGCAGCTTAAGTATCCTTTCGCAGTTCGTCCACAACAAGCTGGCAGAATCTACTTCACCGTATATACAACTCCCTTCCTGGGTACCGAGATGGAACCTTGCGGATTCTACACGCCGCATCAGTACATTTTCTCTGCATCAGGACCCTGATGGGACTCGCATTCTCAAAGAAATGCCCCACACAGCATCCATGGATACTGGGGTTGAGATGGATCAAAATACGCCATTGGGCGTTCTTCGCTTATTGGGTATGCGGATCGACACAGTGAACATGTGTTTCCCTACGGTAATGCTAGATAATACCAAGTTCCAGGCAGCAGTACCAGAGCGTCATGGAGATTATCTGTCGAACCTTCTCCCGCAGTTGTACAGGATGTGTAAGAAGCACGTTAAAGACTTCACGCATTCATTCGACTTCACGTTCTTCATGGTAACCACTGCAGGTCTGGCGCCTTGTTACGGGGATTTTCGATCGTCAGCTCGATCTAACGCGCAGCGTGATTTCAGGTCCATTGTCAATTCTCCGCAAGAAGAATCGGCAAAAGGACAAACACCCTTATCAAATACAAAGGACCGGTCTCCCAGGCATTCGACTGAGGTATGCCCTCCATCACCCAACAGCTCCAGGGAACGCCAAATAAACAGCTACATCGCATTACTCCAACGACTGATGAACAGACGCCTTTTCATCACTTCATCGGATACTCTTGGTCTAGGACCAGCAGGCATGATGTCTGGAGATACAGTTGCGATCTTGTTCGGCGGAAACGTACCGTACGTACTAAGACCTTCGGAGGATGGCCGATGGAATTTCGTTGGTGAGTGCTATTTGGATGGATACATGAATGGCCGAGCAATGGCGGGTAGAAGCTATGCGAGAGATGAGTGGTTTGAGCTGGTGTGAACGACAACCAGGCTTCCGCGTTGGATATAATGCATGGTTCGGGACGAGAGCGAATGGAAAGAAGGATGTTGCAAGAAGCAATAAGGAAAGAAAGACGCAAGCGATCGGGTCAGGCTTGTGCTAGCCTATTCCGCCGTAAAGCATGCAGCAAGACTGAACTTGGGTTCGCAGATGCTTTAGCGAGGCGAGCTAGAAGAAGGATGATGGGGACGAGGCAATTGTCAACGGCCTGCATCCTCGAAGCAAGATGATGGAATGAAGCTTTCTCCGCATAGGCAATGAGACGCGAACGTGCAATGAAACGCGTAGTGTAATATCATCGATGCTCTTTCGATGGTTAACGCGTCATCCGCTCTCTTAATGAAGCTTCACTGAGCCATCTTCAATGTTAGCAGATGTATCCAGTTCTCGTACTCAACGCGACGACTGCTCAATGGGTATTTGACTTGTTCATTATTACCACGAAGCCCTCTCATAGAGGCATTCGCACCACAGTGCCTCCCCAGCAGGGTCAGCCCATGTTATCCTATACGCGAATATTCAAACACATTATACACAAGCTCTTTGCCCGGTCCACATAACAGCTCTTATGACTTTCGTATCGGGGGTCATGTCTTGTCCGCCTTGAAATCGTACTGCTCGGCTTCGCTCCAACTTCGAATCAAAGGGGGGTATCTTATGCCATGCCTTTGCCAGCTTGCCTCTGTGGTGGGTGTTAGGAGGCTGTATGGGGGAAAAAGTTGGGTGGTTGGGGTGGTTGGGAGAACGTACCTTCTTGTTGATGAACATGGCAATGACGAGGATGGCGACGAGGAAAACAATGACGAAGACGACAATGACACCGGGCTCACGCTGGGCCCAGTTCTTGTCGCGCTTGGCGAGCTGGTGGAGAGCGTACTCGGCGCGAGCGGCGATGGGCATGCTGATGGCGGCCATTGTGTTTGTTTGTGGGTTTCTGGGGTGGAGATGTTAGAAAGGTTGTTCGTACGAGCAGCTGTGAAGACCTGGAAGGATTCCCGGAGCTGGAGAAGCACAGGCCAGGCGCATTGGGCGCGTGCGATTCACTCCCAAGAGAGGTCTCGAGCGTAACGATCTTCGGCCAAGGCTTGTCGCGAGACTGGTCCCGATGGCGGTGATGCAATGCGATGCGACACGACGCGACGGGATGCGACAACGTGACGCGAACTCTCCCCGGCAGCTCCAGAAAAAGGCGGCATTGGGCTTACATTTACGAATTGAATCGGTCCACTGTTTGAATATCGAGCTGAGGGAAGCTTTGTTTTGGCTGTTGATGGCAACGGAAGCTGGTCAGCGCGATCGGATCAAACCCACGGAAACGGTCGCTAGGCAGAGGGACTCGGCGATGTTTAATTGAAAGGCGCAGGTCGACAGCGATGCAGCATCAAAGAGTGAGAACGAAAAAGCTCTTAATAGCAAGAGGGTGAATGTCCGCTTTTAAATGCGCCGGCTCGCCGAAAATTTCTGCACAGTTGATGAGGCATTTTGTTTGGCCCCGGGTCCTAGCGGGTTGTCCGGGAGGCTCCAAGCTTGCAAGGGTGGGTGCAGCGTCGCTTCGGCCGGGGAATGGGCGCGGGCCTGGAGGGAGGGAGTAGGGAGCGGTACTTACGTCTGAGGCTCGTCCGAGTGGGTAATGGATAGTGGGCGCTGGGGGATGTTGGAGACTCGGGGCGAGGAGCAGCGTGAAGAGTAGATGAAGGTTGGGTCGGGCCTAGCAACCACCCGCGAGGGTTGAGGGAGCTAGGAGGGAGCTACCCAGTGCAGCCAATGGCGCGACATGCCATCATTTCGTCGTAGATGAGCCGACGATCGCAGCCTCACGTCGGAGATACTCACGTTCGGATGTGTAGTCACTATCTGCTAGTTGCCTGTCACCAGAAGAGCCGCTTTAGAGCTTCACCGGTCGTTGATACCAAGCCATCCACCGTAGCACTCCCAGCACTCCCAGCACTCCCAGCACTCCCCATGAACCTCTCGCTCGCGCCTCCACACAGTTGCCCAGGTGCGTCTGGCGCTGCAAGCCGCTGACGCTACTCGTCGGCTCCACTCAGCCAGCACCCCTGCCACCTCTAAACCGTTCTTGTGCGGCAGAAGCAGCAGCGATGTCATCGCCCATTGCTTATCGTCCATGACTGATGAAGGCGGCGCGAACCCACCTTCACCCTCGGATATCTCGCCAGGGCCGTTTGACACCAGCCGAACCGTGGGCAGCATCAACCGGGCAACAGCAGGCCTAGCGCACCGGAGCCAAAAACAACGCACGTCAATAATGCCTCATTTCCAGACGCTGGCTTCGCGTCGACAGGGCGACGCGCTACGCCGATAGCGCCCAGGCAGACTGGAGACGCGTGGGGTGGCCTTGGTAGCTCAGTGCCGGGATCCTCACTAAGCTTCTGCTGTGCCTGTGCCCCCGCATCTTGGCGAAGCATGGCACACGAGCCCTACACGGCCTTTGAAACGCTGCAGAGCATCACCGTGTCACAGGCACTATCAGCAGAAGCAAGTCTCGCGAGCTGCACGCGCGCCTTGGAACGTCTGAGTTGTGCTGCCGCGTCCGCTATCGCGACGCTGCCCGTACTGCCAATATTGCTGCTATCCGGGATCGTGGAATAGCGTCGCCACATGACTCGGCTCCCATGTGACCGCCGTCGCTGTTGGCATAAATCCTTATTCAGCCCATCATAACCACCGCAATGTGCAGCCAGCCATCGAGATATGCCGTCGCGCGCACCAGCTCCTCCACACTCGCGCTCAGCGGCAGCACCGCTCCGTGCAACACGGCCTGCGCCAGCAGCGGACTGCGTCTGCTCGGAAATAGTGTCGGCAATATCGCGTTCAGTGCTGTCCCGATGGTCTGTGGTTGCCCTGTCTGCCGTCAGCGCCTTCCACACCTACACCGCAATTACACCTACTAGACGACAGGTTCGGCGTCACCAGCCTCTGCACTACTCTCAAACTCCCGGGTGCCGTCTCCTCTTGCACCCCTTCCGACGACGCGTGTGGGAGATAGAGCCGCACTGGTAGATGTCTCAGGTTGACTCCTTGCGGGTTCAGCAGCTTCTGGTTGATGGGGTTGTACACCGCAAAGTCGTGGTTCTTCACTCCGCTCCAGAGCTGCGTGCTGTCTTCTTTGCTTAGAAACATGACCGTCTTTCCTGTTCCTGTCCTGAGGTAGTCGGCCTCCTTCACGCTGTGGATGAACAGATCATGCATATGCTTATCGTCATTGTCGAGCTGAACAAGCTGCTCGGACGGGAAGTCGGAGAAGTGTACTGTGAGTCGCCATGGTAAATGTTGACGCTCTTCCTCTGTGCTCTCGATCTTATGCGCTTGCTCAGCGTCCGTATCCGTATCTGAGGGATACGCCGGCTCAGCGCCAGAGTATAGGTCGTAGAGAAGACCCAGTGGATAATGCCATTTCAGCGGCACGTCTTCGTAGGATAACCACGCGTCTTTGGGCGTGACATCCGGGTAGATGAGGCTGCGTGCGAAAAAGGCATGTAGTTTGTGTATGAGCAGCCCGAGATACGATATTCGTGGAAATTGTATCTACCTCTCGTCAGCCATAGCTCATCCGATGTATCATCACCGGACTATGTCGACACTGCACGTACTAAGTAAGGATCCGACTCGTCGTACGTCCTACAGTCGCCCTTGTGCAGGCGTATCTCGAGCGGAATACTCCCATTCCAAGTGCTCTGGCGCAGTCTACTCGCAACGTTCTCAGCCATGGGCGCGAAGCATCCGAAGTGCAGGTTCGCCAGCCGCCGTTCTGGTAGCCTAGGCGCAGCTGAGCTGATGGATAGTGGGGTAGGTCGCTGCGCAGGCAAGGCGGAAGGCGCGTTGATGGCGGGGTATGCAGGGGGAGCTTGGGCCTGACGTGCAGGAAACCCTGGGTCTTTTCGCTCGTGCGTGCGTCTCTGCCACAACCCCAGACCGACTGTCGTAGGAAGATGTGCGCTGGTCGTGTCTTGTTCTCCACCCACAACGCATGTATGACGTGACGCCGTAGATGGGTGACTTACTTACGCACGACAGCTGGACCATGGATGTGGCACTTAGCCGCAAACGCTCGCGCCTGACTATTGACGAGGACGAGGACGAGGTCCAGCGGAGGAGGGAGCCGTCGCCTGCTCTGCCGCCATTGGGCGATGCGCTGAAGAGGTCGAAGACGCAGTGTGAATTGGAAGAGCTAGATGTTATAAGTACGGAGGAAGCATGGAGCGTGGATGTGGATGCGATATTGGCTAGCAGTACGCTCGCGACTCCTGTAGGCAGTATGCTGGAAGCGCATAATAATTGGGCAAGGTATAAGAGGCAGGCGTCAATAATTGTTTTGTGTGTGCAGGGGAATGTTCAAGTCCATTACGACCTGCTTTGGTAAGATCATCCTGAACCATTTCAAACCACTACTAACAACCCACAGCTCCGCTCTACCAGACCTCTACACGCTCTCCCCATCTCTACAGCCCTTCGTCCTCTGCCACGACCCCTCGACACATAGACTCCCCTCCTCCGCGCCCTTCTCGTTACCTCTGATACAAGCCGCGACTCCCTCGAACAACCACTTCGTCCGCCTAGGCCTTCTACATCCACTCGGTGGAGGCAAGTTCCCATTGGACGCACTCGTCGTGCTGGATAAGAAGGGTAGAAGGAGGTTAGTGCTGCCGTTTGGCTGGGGTGCTGGTAAACATGCGGATACGCCTGCGGGACGGAGCATACAGCTACGGTTGATGGCGTTGCTGAGGAGTTGTGTTGCGATGCTAGAACAGGAATAATGAAAGCTCTTTTGCAGCTTACTTCGACGTTTGGAACAAAGAACGTGAGGTTCATGTGTGAGCAGGGAGTGGCTCAAGGCGTCTGCAAGTAAGATGGGTGACGACATGGGTGTGCCGGTAGCATACAGACACTGTCTGTTGATGTAGATGAACCAATAAACGCGAGGTACACGTGTGAAATTGGGCTCCTTCAGGCTTTCCACAAGTAACGTGAACACGACATGGGCATGTTGATAATATGCATATACCGGAAAGGGAATCTGGGAATCGCAGTGAGCAGCGTGATGGTTTTCAATAGGTTTCATTCCGTGTGTAGTACTACATGAACGCCATACTCCTGCTATCCTTCCTGGTATCATCGCGATACAGACTAAATGTGGACGCCTATGCCTAGAGAGGCTCCACTCGAAGCAGAGTGATGTAAAAGGAGAGGATAACAAGGATCGCCGAAGACGCCACCACCACCTGCGTTATGCAACAAGGTCTCCCAGCGCGCACGGAACCACATAGACTCGTGAGCTGACGCACTAAGGCTTGACCGACTCGTTGTCATTGCCGGCATCCATGTTTTTGTCCTCCCTCTTGAGTTGCTCCACGACAGATCTAACTTTACTATGGATGATATTGAGGTAAGTCGGCAGATATCCCTCGGTGGTAACCATCAGAGTTCCGTACACAGGATTGCCATCGAAGTCTTCTCGATGCGCAACGATATGAGTAGCGAAGGCGCACATGACCTTCTGATACTGTGGTACCGACAGCGCCTTCTTGCAGAAATCCGGAGTAAAGATCTTGTGATTCTCGATCAAGTTCTTGAGCTGTTGCACTGTGAGTCCTTCTCTCGCAAGGGCTCCTCTTATGAACTTGAAAGCAAAGCTTTGCAGAACGTCCATGCCCATTTCTGTCGCACAGAGATAGACTTGCAGGTAGGTCTCAGTTGCCGTTGCGCCGTCAGGGTTGTCCTGCGGGGCGTAGTTGATTGGGTCGGTGACAGACTCAGCAATGATCTTAACAACCGCAGAGCTGTAGTTCTTGGTCGGAAGCTTCGCGAGATTGATTTCGAGCTTGAGGTTGATTAGCCAAACGGGCTATAGAAGTAAACGGCGACCAACTTGCATTGTTCTGGAGCCAGGAAGACACTGCGATCATCATCTCCGTGGGTACGGCGAAGGTGGTCATACCGTCGGAGCAAGGGAGAGGCAACATGTGCTTCACCGCACTGAGTCGCTGGTTGCGGAGCCTGTGGAAGGGTAAGCAACAGACATCATAGGTGGCCAGGAAGCACGATCTCACTTCTTGTGTAGCTCACAGCTGTGTATGTCCATCTCGGCGACGGACAGATCACCGAATGCATAATGCAGATATTCCACATCGACTTCAATGTGTCCTGTAGCAAGCCCTTCGTCTCGGGCGGTCATGGACTGCGAGTTCTGCGTTCCAGACATTCTGTTCGGTAGAGCGCCTACTTCCTGTGGCTGTGAAGATTTGTCGGTAAGGATTGTCAGGGAAGGAAGCAAGCATTCGCGTTAGATATCACTGTGTGGTGGCTGCCTGGCTAGCGCCAAAACGCCGTTTGCTTGAAGGTCATAGACTGCGATGACGTAGCCGACATGTCTCGCGAAGATGTTAGTCGAGGAGTTTGATTTCATGCATACGTTTGCTTGTTATCCAAAGTACCGCCCATGGACGCCTACGCCTGAAATGTCTCAAGTAGCAGCACAGTCACAAAACAAGAGACATGATAGGCTTTGAGGTATACATCCTCGTTGTATTCATTATTTTCTTAAGCACGTACGTACTACAAAAGACTACATAGACCCGTGAGCTGAGACTCCATCGCCTACAAACGTCCTTGTCGCTGCCACGCCCCCTATTCCTCCATGCGATCCTCGGCCTTGACGCCATCGTCGACCTTGACGCCATCGTCCCCATCCCCAGACACGTCAGTCATGCTGGTATCTTCCTTCTTCTTCTGACCACCAGTCTCATCTGATGTGCTACGGGCAGCGACAGTGGGTGCGAGGGCGGGAACCTGGGGAACCTGGACGATGGTGTTGCCCTCGTCGAAGCTATATTCGACACGGGGTACCTCGGTGTTGTCGTCCATGCCGTGATCGGATGAACTGATGAGGGCAATGAAGGTAGACTCGTCGGCATTCTCATCGGCGGAGATATTGTTCTCGGGGAGAGCGTGCTCACTAGCACCTTGACGGTCGAAATTGGTCTGGTCCGTAGTCGGCTGATCACCTAATCGGTTGAGCGCAGTTCGCGGAGCAACGGGACTAGGACCTTGTGGACTATTAGAGGCGAACGGAGGATTGAAGTCTTCATCGGCATCGAAATCCGGTCCATCGACATCTTCAGAGCCATCGGTCTCACCGCGGACTGTCTGGCTCCGTCGTAGGCTCGAGCCTGGACGAGGGGTACGCAGGAGACCTGATGTCGGCTTCATGGGAAACGGGGCTGCCTTTTCACCTTGAGACGCCTTGGATCCGCCCATAGATTGCCACGACCTGTCCAGCTCGGATGGTGTGGGTGTAGGCGGCAGTGCTTTGTTGGTGCGATTGGCCGAGCTTCCATGGTTATGACGACGGGGGGTAGGCGAATCGCTGTGGTCCTCGACAGTAGGTTGGTAGGTATTGCCCGGACCAGGAGACTGGAGAAGGCGACCGCCAATGTTTCCACGCTGTCCTTGTCCTGTACCGACAGTGCGCATCTTAGGGGTTCGCGTGTCAAGCAAAGGGTCCATGAGGCGTTTCTTGCTCGGTCGGTTTTGATCTGCGGGGGTGTAGGTAATGGCGTCCTCTTTGGGGTTATGTTGGAGGTTGTATACGGTCCAGTCTCGCTCGGCCGCAGCCTCGTACTTCGCATATCGAGAGGTTCCGAGATTTCCAAGGAACTCAAGATACTTTGTACCACCTTCTTGGAGCCAGCGAGGACGATGCAGTGCTCCACAAGCCGCGACCACGTTCAGGAGCTTCTCTTCGATGTGCTCTGACGGTTCGTACAACTTATGCTTCTCCAGAATGTTGAAGAACTGTTCGGCAGTAAGAGAGTCCGTGAGGAGAGAGTTCCGAATGTTCCTTCTAGCAATGTTGAGGAGTTCCGGCATCTCCATCTCTTTCGCGCAGAGATATACCTTGACGTGGAGCTCTGCTAGCGGTCCTTTAACACGTACGGTGATACTCTTGTCTTCGATACCAGGTTGAGCTTTCTTCAGGTGAGTCAGTTGGTAGTTGGCGAGCTCTTGGGTGTCGTCTAGCTGGTACTCATCGTCAAGTATGTGTTGTACCATCATCTCGACGACGATGTAGTCATATCCGTGGATAGTCACCACACAAGGGGCGTTTCCTGCATCGTCGACCTGTCGAGTAGTTAGTTTAGGCTATGGACACGGCGCGAAGTTGTCGTGCGTAACATTGCGGAAGAACGGCTGTCCGCGGAGTTAGAACTAACCTGCTTTCCGATCTTGTCTGAACCGCCTGTGGCAAGATCTTGTGGTAGAGTGCAAGTCGCGCTCTCAGTCCCCAATTTTGCGACAAGTGTCACGCCAGAGCGTGAGTTCTTCACGATGCGACCACGCCACCTGCCTTTGTCAGTGATACATTCGTTCAGTCGACATATGTTTGATAGTACCTTGGGCCGCACTCATGAGCCATCGGGGATGACTTCGAAATCGCCTGCTGGTTTGAGTGGATAGCCATAAACTCCATGTCCGCGCCGGGCCCGCTGTTTCCCAACGCCATTGCTTTAGTCTCATCGCGCGTAGACTTTGCGACATGCTCACTGTCGCTCTGACTGGTTTGTTGGCTAGTCATGTCGACTCTTGGACCTGTCGAGGATGTGTAGAGGCTGGGTCGTTTGGACATGTAGACAACAGGAAGTGAAGGGGCAGGGTGGAAAGACAATGGGCGTCAGAACTAGCGTCAGAACTAGCGCCGGTGCAGGAGCAGTCACCTATATAGGCTTCCGTTGTGCGGGGGTGTGGAGTTGTTTGTGGTGTGTGGGGTTGTAAGCGATATGGGTCTTTCACTTTCTGTGCGTTTGCAGTGAGCGGCCCTATCTAAAGCTGATATTTAATTAGCATGTACATATAGCTCTCAATTTCCACAGTACTCTGACTCCCCGCTCTGAAGTAGCTTCTAACATGCAATGTACCCCTGGGTGGTAGAAGTATACGTATGTCCTTGACTACACTATGCCATAGTGGTGCTCTATGGGTCAATGTAAGTATTTTTTGCGTCCACACCAAGGCCGAGCGTTCGGTTCTGTGCTCGATCATTCTTTTTTTGCTTTTGTGTTGCCTTCCGGTGAGAGTGAAAGGACAAACGTGAGTCCTTTGCGGCCTGCTAAAGTGGGGCTTGCCCACCCGTTGCCAACACTGTTTTGATGTCTTTCTGCTAGCGCTCTCCCAAGACCTTTATACTATTCCTCAGGACAGCGCTGAACCGTGGCTATGGCGAATCAATCTCCGAAACCAGACAGCAAAGGCGAGAGCTCGGAGACAGAGCCGCGCGCTCAAGAAGCGCACCCACGTACGACAAACCCAGCACCGTCCGCCAGAGATCTGGCTCGTGTTGCGACATCTAACCCGGACCAACGCGACGGTGAAGAGGCCCTACGAGCAGGTCCGTCATTCAACACCCTTCATGGAGCATGGAAGCTGACTTAACAGACAACGGAGCTCGCACCCGTACAGACGCTGTTACGATATCGCTGGCGACTCTGAAGACCCTCCTGGGCCACATCTTCGAGGGCAAAAGTGCCAGACTACCACAGCCACAACTAGTTTGTGCTCAGTGAGTATTGATTGTATTGCACTCCTACGTGCGCTGATAAATCGCAGTCGTGGCCAAATGGCCCTCAGCAAGCGACTCGGATGTGACTTCACACTCGTCGTAGATGAAGTTGCGTTCGGCGTGAACTCGGGCTTCCTTATTGCAGGCTCGGAAGTGCTAGAAGGATACGCTTTTCCTAGCGGTGTAAGTACAAGGCTAGTGCAAATGGACAGAACTAGTACTCACGGCTTTTAGGGTACACTTGATACTCTTACTAGGGAGTGTGAGTTCAACGCACAAGTACACAGTCCCACGATGGTCGACCGCCTCGTCGAATTCATATACACTGGAACCTACAAACTGGACAAGGGCGGACGAGCGACGATGCTACACCATGCGACCAAGTTACCCATCGGAAAGACCAAGGCAAGCTATCCCATGAAACTGGAGGCTGCGGCGGAGTTTCATCTGGAGATGTACAAAATGGGCAGAGACCTCCGATATCATTCTTTGGTAGCCGTCGCGCATAGCAAGCTGGCAGAGGATATGTTGTGGAAGAGCACCGTCGGCGTGGGCATTGCGAAAAGCCTCGTAAACTGGATATACGGCTCAGCTCAGAGGCTACATGATACAGCTGAAGAAACGAACGATACGCTCGGGGACGACAACCTGAAGGAACTGGTCGTAGCGTGCATCCTGCGGCACGTTCATCAGAAGCTCTGGGATGGGGAGGAGATAGAAGGGTTCAAGCAACATGTCCAGGCATACCCGGCTTTGGAAGTAGATTGGGAGCTTGCCGAAGAGGAGTACAAAGAGCTGCTGAGGAAGCGACCCGAAGCTAAGAGAGGGGCGAAGAGGGCGAGACGCGAACAGCAACATCAGCAGGAGGTTGCGAGTATGCTCCAGCTCTTAGAAGGTCCTACTCTTTTGTAGACGAGCTACTGTCGAAAGCTGCGATCTCCCGCATCTTGTCCTACATTTCCGATACTTCCGGCTGAGGAAGTCACGAGATGACGATCCGTAGAGAGTGGCATGGCGGCAACCGGGAGACAGGTTGCAGGGCTACTTGCAGGGTGTTGGAGCGTGTAATCGATCTGAACCGTAGCATAGCCGATGAAGATCTGCTCGATGGCCGTATTGCTGAGATGAAGCTTGTGATGCGTGGTTGCAGGAGGTGTGAAGGTACGTCACTGTGAGGGTGGTTGGCGACTAGCGTGCTTCCCCACCCTGTCGCGATGGCATTCGTGGGCGCGTCTCTGAACGGTTGATCATCTCTCCAACGAACATGTGAATCTCCACGTCGACCATCTACTGAAATGAGGACTGACAATAACAGCTTCCTTTTGTGATACGGAGGCCCGAAAGTTGCGCGTGGAGATGCTATGCTTTCCGCTGCAACGCGTCCCAGCAGCCTCGACGCGTCAATTCTGCGTGTATTCGCGATCTCATTTCGCGATAATCCGATTACAAGTACTTTGAACCCACCTGGGACGGCTACTTATGCGATGGCGCCGATGTGCTGGCGACGTCTGAAGTGGTAATATCCTTATGGACAAGACGCCCCTGTTTGGTACAATCCCGGCCCGTGCATCTTGTTTGCACAGGATCTCATTTCCTACCAAACCTCCTTCCTCACCTCCCGTCGTTACACACAAAATCCCGCCATGCCACCAATCCGTACAGAGAAGAAGAACAGTGTTGTGCAAGCTGCTTCTTCGCGCGGTCTCGCTGCCTTTGGCTTTAAACCTGCCCCGAAAGAGGAGGTCGTAGCCGCAGCGGCCCGAGCAAAGCCTCCAGTCGTATTACGACCCGCTGCAGTCCAAGTAGAGCAAGTAGCACAAGTAGTGCAAGACGCGCCGAAGCCAAAACCTCGTCTTCCAAAGCCCCTTGTCAAAGGAGTAAAACAAGCCGCCTTCGGAGATTCCAGATACCACTGGGACGGCAAGTACCACAAAATCGTTGGAACATCGACAAGAAAGATCATCTTTGGAAGAGGCTTCAAACTGGCAGAGTACGTCACATCCCTTCCTGGTATCTACAGTGTATACAATGCAATACTGATTTGCGTTTCCCAGTAATCATATAGACGACATCCTCTTCTTGGGTCCCAAAGTTTGCGACGTGCTTACGGAAATTCATTTCCAATACGTGGATACTGATTACGACGCTCATAATGGTACGGCTCGATAGCTATGCAAGACTTCATAGAAATATCTCTGACTGCGATGACAGACTGCCTCGTTACAGACGAGGGTATCAAACGCCTCGCTAGAGGTTGCAGAAACCTGAAGAAAATATCCCTACCTGGTGGCGGTCGCAGCATGGGTGACGAAGGTCTAATCCACCTTCTTACCTTCTGTCATGACATTACCCATCTAGAATTCTCCGGTGGTGGTGTTACGGAAGCCGCTTTCCAGCAAATGGCCGCTAACTCAGATCTGGCGCCAAACTTGAAGAAACTACGCCTGGATGACCAGTCTTCGGACAAAAACTTCATGCGTGGCATGCGAGAGTTTGGAAGGTCGCGACCGACGCTACCGATCGAGCTGGTTCATCGTTCGCATTACAAGAAGTATGATTCGTGGTACATGTCGACTAGTCATACGACATACACCAATGGTAGAAAGGTGTCTACTAGTCTCCCTGTTGACACATGAGCTATACCTAAGCGGGCCAGGCCATAGGTACTTTCTTGATCGGCATACATCTTTCTTTGGCTGAACAGTATCTTGGGCTTATTGGAGCACAACTAGCAGGATGTCACGGATTGTCAAATTTATAGCGCCGCGCTAGCCAACGACAGAACTACAGGAAGGATTGGTGGCTTACAAGCATCACGAGAGGGCGTTCGCCATGTGCCTGCCACATAGCTTAAACCTGTTTATATACATTGAAGTAACCAATCGCAACTGGTGTCGAGATATCGGGGGGTGGGTACAGCTGGGTTGAGTTTCAGCCGTAGAAAAAAGTAATGCCCCAATGTGAGATACGGCAGAGACCCACTTACAGGTACCCGCTATAAAATCTGGAATACCCGAACATGGTCCTTTCGTTCTCGAGTTATCAATATCTCTCTTTTCCACTCGCAGTTTTCACAACTCAGCAGGGATGCTACCAACTCTTGCGCAAGGTACAAACATCACACCAGAAGGTACCTTTGCCAGCCTGGGCTTCAGCGTGGTTTCACGAGATGAAGCGTTAGCAGCCGCAGCAAAAGTCGTGACAGCTACACGACCAAGACCATCACCACGGAAAAAGCAGATTCGCCGTGCGAAGACACCACTGCGGTCGATACAGAACTGTCGTCCACAACCCACTCCTCCTGCGACCCCGCCAACGCCATCCACTGTGATAGAAGAAAATCATGGTGTCGCACTCAGCTCTGATCGCGATAGCGATGATTCAGAAGGCGAGGAAGACTCCAGCGAATGTTCATGTAGACGCCAATGCGTTGTCGAATGTTCAATGGATTCGTCCAGAATCCGCAAGCCAGCTCATCTTCCCATTATAGATGCTACAGCCATGGGACTGAACTGCCAGTTGTCCTGGAGTGGGGTGGAATATGTTCAATGCCCCATGACAGAATGCCTGTTGGATGTAACGGAGTACGCTTTTGAACACACACTTTTCTCTGTACAGCTCGCTGATGCGCAACAGTATGGACGACCAATCTTTACTCTCTATCGACATGAGCCCAAAAGTTAAACACCTTCAATCGATCAGTATGTACACTTTATTCAATCTTGCACGAAGGTTCACTATCTTGCTAGTTCAGTCAAAAATGTCTCTAATCAAATAGCTAACGATGACAGGATTGGGCGAGTCGGGAATGTACAGAGAGGAAAGCATGATCCATGTTGTTCATCGTTGTCCGGGCCTACAGACTGTCCAGCTGGGGAGTTTCCGTAGTCGCAACATTCTTCTCGCATTATTGTGTTCCTGCCCGTTACTCGAACACGTCCAAATATTCGGAAGTCATATAGATAATGACCCGCTCCCACTGTGGGCCCTCGCCGAACATCCAGACTGGGCACCGAACCTTGTTGAGCTGATCATTTCGTGGAATGGAAACCGACCCTTTCACGAGACACCGATGGAGATGGAAGGATTGGGTATTGCTCTTGACACACTTGCAAATGCGAGACCAGGTCTTCTCATTATGATTCTCGAGTACGGCCTTAGATCAAATGTCGTTGTTTGGGCTAGAGTGCCGAGCTGGATTGGGCTAGAGCAATTCAAACGATGTGCGAATACGACCAGCACGACGGTGTTTGACGACCGACGTATCGAAGAGGCGACACCTTTCGTTTCGAATTGGGTCTGAGCAATGAAGGCGATAGGAGCTTTTCTTCCTACAACGAGTTCATTATTTGATCGTATAAACCACCACCACAGATTAATAGTATATCGCAAGAGCAAGACCATCCGACAGATCACTTGCTACAAAGCCGTCCGCTCTTCTCCATTTTCTCAACCTACGCATTCTCTCGATGAACCTTCTGCTCCTTCTCCCCCAGCGGCCCCTCTACACCTGGATGAACACTCTTCCTCCTCTTCTCATCTCTCTGTTGCCGGCTTTGATCGAGGCTTTGCGCAAACTTCGAATTGGCTCTGATCTGAGGACCTTTCCAGTACACGATATAGATGGGCAGGGTGACCAGGAAAGCAAGGCAGGCTAGAATAGTGGAAGCGTATTGCAACGGTCGACCAGGGATATTCGAGTAAAGCGGTGTTGAGTATAGAGAAGCGATACCGGCTAAGGCATCACGAGCGAGATCGTTGCCGCCGGTTGCGGAGGAAGCGTAGGGGCCGTATGCGGCGGTCTGGTAGTCGATTGAAGACTGGTAGATTGCATACTGGGAACCGTTAGCCAACGAATATTGCGTATTCAGCTCGAGAACTCACATTCGCCATGCCAACCATTGCCGAGAAAATCATCGGCGCGATCCAAGGAATGCCATAGTCTGGGCCAAGTGACGTCCAAGCAAACCCAAACAAGCCGATAGTCTCCAGCGGAGCGAGGAACAGCAACCACCAAAGTCGGGCTTCCGGTTCGACAGACCCCGGATTCTGTCGTCGTTTCTTCCGGAAACTGATGATCGACGGCATGTACGAAGCGTAAGCCAGGAAGTAACTGATCAAGATGGGCAGGAAGGCTAGACCTGCGCCAACGACGCCAAAGCCCCATTGTTCGTAGACGGGACCGAAAGACTCCAAGAATGTGAAGATCAGGGCGTCGCTGAAACCACTGAGGAGTGAGAGCCATAGAACGATTGGTTCGGTAAAGAACATGTAGAAAGGTCTATCTTATCATTAGCATCGAAGCCATCAAGTCTTGAAGACGTTACATACCTCCAGAAGATAGTGCCGACCTCTTTGAAGCTCATTTTATGGCCACCTCGGATCTCATTCGGGCCATAGATGTTGGGATCTTCACCTGTTTTACGTCGTCTCTTCGCCTCGCGGTCCAATAGGATTGTCGAGCGAGTCTCGGGGTTGCAGACAAAGTGAACGAGCTGGACGAAGCCTCCGATGATGAGCTGAACCCAGAAGATCCACTCGACCGACTTGTATCTAGGGATCTAAGTAAATAATTGCTAGCGAAATTTGCCAATGATGTTCTTACCTCTCTACGAACGCTCCGATGATCGCACCAACGACGGACCCGCCCACGGATGAAAGGACTAGGAATGCGACAGCAAACTCTTGTTCATCCGGCTCCCACATGTCGGCGAGTACACCAAGCGTGACCGAGCCGCCAGCCGTTGATAAGCCTCCAAGCGTCCGGACCACCACATATGTCGCATAGTTCTTCGACAAAGCGGCTGGTATTTGCCAGAGGTTGACAAGGAACAGACTGAGTTGCTGGATGGGCCATCGCCCATACTCTTCTGACCAGGGAGCCCAAAGTTCGCAGCCGATACCGTAGGCGATCAAGAAAGCAGCCTGGGGGACGCGAGCTGCTTGTTCGCTAACACCATGGTGTTCGGATACTGCGCTGACGGCATGCGAGTACATGGACGCATTTGTGTTGATGCTGATTTGGATGAAGAAGACGACGATGAGGATCTGCCTATCGTGGAATCATTGTCAGCGCCGTATGTTGAACATCGCAACATGGAGAGAGCGATCGAGAGGAGATTGTGAGCCCATGGTAGGCTTTCGAGATGCGCCGCCACAATGGTCGGGTCTCACGGCAAAGCGGCATCCAGACAAGAGACACAAGCTCAACTCACCATTTGCGCCAAGTCGGGAACGAGTAACCAAGCTTGTCCCAAGCATCACTGTCTTGTAGCTCGACTTTGTCGCCTGTGATGATTCGGTCCGTCTTCTCTTGCTCAAGTTCTGTGCCTTCGCCATAGTTGGGGTCGCGCTCTGTGTCAGGCACAGCTGTCGGCTTGCCATCGTCTACGGTAGCCATATTGGAGTCCGCACGCACGTAGGAGGATGAATGAGAGGAAGGGGTGTGAAAGGCGGAGAACGAAGAAGTGTATGAGATATACTTCACACCATCTCGTACGCAGTGCATACGCCTCTTCGCCTGTCGCTCACCCTCTACGCGACATCAGGCTGCCCGTTACTCCGTGCCTCTGATGTCAAGGGGCGGCTGGTTACATCTTCGGTAAGCTTACTCCGCCAATGTGAGGCTTGTCATTCTGAGCCAAGGCATACACAGCCGTGGCAGCCAAGAGTAATCAACTGATCGCGGGGTAAATAAGGGTGCATCGACCGATGATGGGGAATGCGATGTGCGTGATGTTTCCCATGTTTGGTCGATGCAGGTGTTGGGCCAAGAGAAGGAATGAGGCATGGCGTCATAGGCGTTCTATACGCTGCGGTTACGCGGCGTCGACCAGGAAGTCGGATCCTACTCATACAGTCGATATACGCAGAGTACCTGGCGCGGAGTTTGACGCCGGGTATTGTGATGTCATGCACCCAAGCAGTTGTTCAGGAGATGGGTGTGAAAGGACGTCGACACGTGGTGGACGGGCCCATGGGTGGACGGCAGGCGTGCTAGGCGGGGGCACACGCGACCTGACAACGCGACGTAACAGTTTTAACCCGCGGCATAGACTGGGTGAACCCCAACATGTGCCTGATGGGGATTCAATTAACATTAGAAGCTTTTGCGCGACCGACAATCGTCCACCAGCTGTGCCATATTTACCGTTGCCATGTGTTACTACCTCCCCTGCGGGCTCAGTAACAGCGCCGTTATCGCATCAACACACGCATAGAACCTCTGTCCAACCTCTGGCTGAGCGAGGTATGCCGAAGTCTTCTCCTTGATCAGATCCTCATGACTCCACTCCTCGAGTGGCACATCCTCCAACCCCGTCACATCAAACCGAAAGTACTTCATCCAATTGCGCTCCATCAACGCAGCGTGTTCGGCTTCGAATCTATCACCCCACGATCTAGCTTCAGCCTTCCTATCCTCGACGCTATTCGCCATCTCGGGAATCTCGTTTTTGCGATTCAGGCCGACGCCCGTACCGACTGAGACAATGATCATCATGTCGTTCGCATATCGGAACAGCTTCCTGCATTCATACAGGATGTCGCGGACTGGATTGTTCTTTGTAGTCCCATGGTCGACGAGACCCTTCTCAATCACGAAGCGTTGCGGTACGCCTGGCTCGGATTGCACGTATCGTGGGGCCGCTGAGGTCGCCTTCATCGCTTGCCATATGGGCATGTTGGGTTCCAAGTCCGGTCCAGTTATGCGCCGTGTTTGGTATGATCGGATAAGGGCAGCTTTGTTCGTGCCTTCACTTCGTTAGTGAATCTCACCACGCTTCTCACTTCAGTACGTACCGATATCCATTTGTGTCGTAATTGCGAAACTTTATCGAGTCAGTATGTACGTCGCGGATGAATAGGCTTCACTCACACGTCGCCCGAGTCGGGCCGTCCATCTAGGAGTACTTCGTCCGGGCTGCCTAGCTCCTGCTGAACCACGCTCTTGATTTCGTTCTCTAACGCGCTGTCGTCAGGCTTCTGTATCTGTGCATGAGGGTCGAGATATCTGAAGTAGGCCCTTTTATTGTCGAACACTTGTTTGGCAATCTGCTTGTAAGCTTCTCTTGCTCTATGGGCTTGCATGCGCAATCGACATAGCATGATGGCTATTATACCGCCAAGAGAACTGCCACCTGTCAAGTCGAAAATCTGGTGGCTGTCTAAGCGCTGCCCAACTTTGACGCAAATCGCATTGACCAGCGATTCAACTAAGAGGAGAGCAGACAAACCCCTGATACCGTCACCGTCAATTGAAAGCAGAATCTTCGTCTCTCTCGTTCTCGAAAGGATGGCTGGTAGAGGTGCTGCTTGGTTTGGTGTCGGATCATGTAAGGCGGGATCGATGTACTGCGAAGATGGGCGCATATCGTTTTCAGGAGCTGCTTGAACAGTGGGAGTCGATTCTGGCGGTATTTGGGTGGCGCCAGTTGGCGCCGCAGCTTGAAATGCGTACGGGGAAGCATACACGGTTGCTGTCGTTGCTGACGAAGGCGTACTATGATCGCGTGGCGAGCCGGGGAGAGCATTCTCAACCACCGTTGACGGTGAAGGTGTCATGAGACCTGCTACCGTAGTATGGGTGACAATCGGTTGTGATGGAGCCTGGCCGTATATGGGAGCTAGTGGTGGAGGCCCTGTAGCAGAGGGAGGTGGAGACGGCCATGGAATGTATCCAGAGTAAGGATCCCGGATAAGTCGCAACTCTGCTTCTTCTGCAACGCGTCGGACATCCGGATCTTGAGCTTTGCTTCGATACGTTAGTCTCACTACGGGTGATATCTGGAGAAGACGCGCGACGTACTACTTCACGTAGCTGACGTCCCAAGGCTCCCAGCGACCGGACAGCAAGAACTGTATCGAGGAAGGAAAGGCGGAGTCATGAAAGTAGTGTGTGCCCTCTACCGCCGAGTAGCGGACACAGCTGAAGTCCACCGGAGTCCACGACATGCTGTTGTATAGTGGTTATAGCGCGTACCAGTGGCCAAACCGGTAGACGGAGAGCTGGAATTGAGGCAGCACTCAGCCTTGTACTGGCAATCTAGTGAGAGCAGCGGTGGATCAGACGGCAGTCCTAAGAAACATGCGGTAAGCCACTAGCTGCCGCTGGGAGCTAGACCGTTAATCAGGATGAAGTCGCTTCTGAGAAGGGCTATTGTATAGCCAATCGCTACGCGACAAACGGCCCGCCTGCAAGGTATGCTCTGCGCCAGCTCGTTCAAATATGCTGCTATGCGTAGCGCTTCAGCGAGAATGCGGCCGCGTTTGACCGGCCAGGCGAGGCCCTGTACGGGCAACGTGTATGGACGAGGCCGCTCGGCAATTGGGCAGTTTGATGGATCTGTGAGACAAGGGCTTTGTGATACCCGGCCCATCCCTGCGTGTGCGTTCGTCACGAAAAACTCCCATCGCAGAGGCGATCGGATCGATCGCCAGGCTCAAAGTATACTGATAAGGGAAGATCTCGGGTCAAGGGTGCATGCAACTGCTGAACATCGCGACTGCCTAGGTGAAGACGGGCGATTCGCTAGCGGCTAGTGCATGACCATCGCTGGATTGGTCCACGCCCGCGGCCCGCAGCGTTCCGCTTGCTCGGCTCTCCCCCTCAACAGCTTTTCACCCTTCAGCCACACAGAACCCTTTCGCGACACGAGTAGATTTGGACGGCATCTTGCGGCGTTGAGCTTAAACTTGAACTTTCCCGAAAGAGTTGGTGTGAACGACTGCACGGTGACGGCGTAATCGAACAAAGAACCTGGTCCCACCTGAGCAACGTTGAGGAAACCTCTACGAACACCATTCGTCCAGAATAGACATGGAATCAGGACAGAATCCACTCGGAACACTTTCGATTCTAGCAGTGGAACTGCGCGAGGCCATCTGGTCATATGCACTCACCGACACCACGATCGTGTACCATGCAATTACCGAAACGGTGCCAATCCCACTACTCGGCTGTTCCAAAGCGATTCGTGAGGAAGCCATATCCACAATACTCCGAGAGCGAAGCGTCACGTTCCAGACGCATGCTGCACTATCGGGCTTGCTCACGAATCACAAGAGCCAGCAAACAACAGACACGGTCAAGGATGCGATAGCCCCACAGAGTCCAGCTAGATTGCCGAAGAAGATCAGGTTGAAACTGTTCTCCGAGAACCAGAAACTGTTCAAGTGTACCGAGAGCAATTGGCTCGAGTATACAGAGGAGGAGCCGAAACTTGCAAGGGAACTTGATGGTTGGCGGGAAGCGCTGCTTCAATATCCCATTACACATCTCACAACAATAGTCATGGACTGCAATTCCAGTCCCACATACCATGGCGGACCGGGGTATGCACTTCCGTGCATGAGTACGTTCGTAAAGCGTGTAGCTACGCGCATTCGCATGGTGTCAAAGGGAAGATGCCAGATTTTACTAGTCGCACCGCCAGGCACCGTGAAACAGCTCATCTGGCACGCTGGTTCAGCCTCCTTTCTGAGGAGCTGGACGCCAACCGATGATGGGTGGTCTGCAAGGAAGATTCAAGAAGCGCTCGACAAATCGGTCGTTGCTAATCCGTCATCACCCACACAGAGGAGCAGAAAGCGACGACGGCCCACGGCAGCGATGGAGTAGAGTAGACCTTTGTACATATTGTGAAAATCTTCACGTTCCTTCTTATGACTTATTACTCACATGCGAAGTTACTGGCATTATTGCAGGCTTATGAAGTTTGGTATTGTGCATTACTCGGGGCAAAAAACATCGTCACGAGTTTCCCCCCGAATTGACTTTCATGGCCGTGATGCAGAAGCCCACCCGAAGCAAAAAAGAATGCATGAGATGCTCTCCAGCGGGGAATTGAACCCCGGTCTCCCGCGAGTTGTCTGTGAAGATGACAAGCGGAAATACTGACCACTATACTACTGAAGATTGAGCAACCGAAACGGCTGAGTAGGTGATTCAATGGAAAAACGGAAGAAAATGATTTATCTATTAGCAATACGACTCACTGCGCGGAAAGGGCTGTCGCTTCGACCTCTTACTGCGTTATCACCTGGGTAGGCAAAAGCTGTGCGTGCTGCAAACCCAGGTGTGGGCGGCTAGCCAGCCCTGGAGGGGCTATTTTAGCTACGGCGAATGGCATGCGATTAGACCAATGCTGCTTACATAAGCTGCTGCAATCATGTAGAACCTATTCCCACTGTTCGAATTGATATACTTAAGGACAAAGTCACGGTTCGAGGACATGGCATATATTAGCTGGCACTATACACAGACGTAAAGACCCGCTCCAATCGAAACTTGATTATTCGATGTGTACTCGTCGACTAGAAGCTTATTATGTTCTATCACACCCAGCTGTCACTTTTGTCTTTGATTGAATCCCTTCGCCGATACTCATCCTAGAAAGGCCATGCTCGCACAAGCTACGTTCCGTATACTGACTCACTGGAAATATGTCGTGCTTACGCATCTGTACAATAAGTCAGTTAGTCTCTACAGGCATAGAGATGCGACTGTATGTTGTGTTGAAGGTACATTCAGCGGGCTTTGTGCGTTTGAGCGATCTGGCGTCACGGACATGCAACATCTTGATGACACTTGGAAAACATCCACAACGCCACACCCATCACGAGGATATTGTGCACACCAGCATTTGGTTTTCGAAGCATATTCATTTCTCGCCGAGTCGATTCGTCGTGAAGACTCTAGCTTTATTCGTTCATGCAACCCATGCTCATTTTCTTTCATGAGCTCCGAATCCCACAGAAGATGATGAACCGAATGAAGTAAAACTCCGAACCAATTCACATGCACCACGCTCTTCAGTATCTCATGATCTATGCCTCGGTGGCAGCGGCCTGAGCCTTGGCACCCCTGGCCTTGGTGGGCTTGGACTCCTTGACGGGCTTCTGGCTCTTGTGGATGGCGGAGGCCTTAGCGACGGCGTCCTGGCGGAGGTCGGGGCGGTAGTTGCGCTTGGTGGTGGAGTTGACGATGGCGGAGTATGTCCTACGTTGGTCAGCGAACAGCCCTTTGATATGCGGTATCGGTACGATCGAGCGAAGAAAGTCGCGGCTTGGAGAAGACGTACTTGCGGGTGGACCTGCTGGGGCCGAAGGTGGTGGTCTGGATGGCAGATGCGGGCTGGTGGTGCTTGTCGGCCTTCTTGATGAGAAGAGTGACACCACCCTCGGGGCCGGGGATAACACCGATAGCCTATTCCAACGTTGTCAATACCGTATCCTGTGTTGGTTCGCATGTGCGCGCGGCGCATTCGTGGTTCGTGGTAGTCGTACCTTGTTGGCAATGGAGCCCTCGTTCTGAGCAGAATTAGTCAACTGTCCCCAAGAATACAACATCCACACATACCTTGCGGCTGTACACGTTCCTCAGGTTAAGAGGATCGCGCGAGAACTGGATACCGTTCGCCCTCTTGACGAGCGTGGAGCTGCGTCCCTCTGCCATATGTCAACCCCAGTCCCTCCCCAATGCGCGTCCCAGTCTTTCACTCACTGGTAACCTCCCAGGCAAGATCGTGCGAGATAGTGGTGGCCATTGTGTCTGTATGGAATGTGGATACGGACGATGTCGATTGCTTGACGTTGGGAAAGTTCGCCAATATTGAATCGAGGGCCCTCGTCTGCATTACCGCATGCGCTTAGTGCGTGTTTCGGGGATGGATCAACGTGCGTGCCGACGCCAAGAGCGGAGCGGAAGTGACGATGCATGAACGCGACGTGAGGCGGTGCAGCCGAGCGTTCTTGTCCGCGACTCCGTGGTTACAAACCATCGTTGTCTTGCATCAACCTCCCCTAATGCCGTGGCTTCAGAGGCGCTCATCTACACACTACCGCTGAATTCACTTCACATCCGTTTCTTTTGTATTCATCACCAACTCCTTTGTCGCGCCTAGCAGCTCCCTCCCGCACTCCCGAAGACCTCCGCTCTGTCGCATACGCTATAGACCTCTCGTGCAGCCTCGGAAGCAACCTCCATCATGGCCTACATCCTCTACTCCGTCTCGCTCTTCGTTCTGGTGATTGCGACAGGTATGTCGCCTTAGTGAACACCTCCTGCGCCACACTAACACTGCGCAGCTGCCTATTTCACCCGGCACCGCTGGATACACCTTCTGCCTATCCCCGGACCCATCTACACGCGCCTCCCATCCTCGTTCCGCGACGACATCGAAGCCGGCCTTTCGTCCTCAGCGTTTGACCTGAGTGGGAACGTGGAAGCCGGCGACTCGCGCCAAGGCTTGGACGACGCGGGGAAGAAGGAGGTTATGCGCATTATGAAGAGACGCGGCTGCGACTTCGACGAGGCACGCAGAATATACATGCAGGAGAGGTTCAAGAAGAACAACATTGGAGCAGATGGGATACCCCGCGACCCCAAGTTTGTCAGCTTCTCATAATTGCAACGACTGGGTTCAATGGCGGTTTTCATTTTCAGGGCTCTTTCGTAATTCTTTCTTTTGTATGGGGTTTGGACACATTACTACATTTCTTTTGTTGCCTTCAGTGGCCTATCTCTGTCTGACATGCTCTTGGCGGGTATCTTTCTGCGAGTACGGATTTGGACGCCAGATATCCTGTGTCCTCTATTCTTCCGAGTTCTGCGTCTTTCTTTCGCTGACCTTTCAGCGCCTTTTCGAATACACTTTTGATGTTTTCCCTTAATCGACTCGAAGCCTGGTGAACATCATGTCTCCCAATCGTGAAGCCATCGTCTCATGCTGCTTCATGTCGATCAAAGACCATGACTTCCGCGATTTCTGCGGACGGCTATTATACCGACAAGCCTGGTCCCCTGGCTCGCTGAAGTACTGGTTCTAGCATCTTGGAGACTGCTCAAGCTACAACGCCCATATTCAACGTGATTGTCATTGATCCCTTCGCGTCTCTTCTCTCTACCTCGGTGCCTGAGCGTAGCCGGGAGGCCCTCCGAAACCTGGGGGACCGCCGAAGGCTGGCGGTGGGCCGTTGAAGCCGGGCGGGGGAGGGAAGAAGTTCGTCGGAGCGCCGCTTGGTGGGCGAGCAGGCAAGCCAGATGGGGGTGGTGGAAGACCTGGATGGCCAACCGGAGCTGCGGAAGGAGGTCGACCATAGCCTCCAGGACCGTTGGGAGCGTAACCAGGAGGTCCGCCGGGAGGTCCGCCAGGGGGTCCATATCCTGCTCCGGGTCCGCTTGGTGCGCCGGGCATGCCACGTCCATCCATGCCCATGGCTGGTCCACTCGGTGCAGCACCTGGTGGAAGTTGGAAAAGATGTGCGGGCAGAGGTTGCACAGCAGGCGCAACTCCGTGGGCCTTGGCCTGTTTCGCGAGCATACGTTCCGCTTCGTCTCCGTGCCGCTCACCCTTTCCGTCTTTCTTGTATGCGTATTGAACCGTGATCTGCTTGCTCATGATGTACTGGTTGTGCATGCTCGCGATTGCCGCATCCGAGGATTCGAAGTCGCCGTACGAGATGAAACCGTATCCTTTAGATGCTTGCGTGATGTCGTCGCGCGCGACCTTTGGCGCATTCACCAACGGTCCGAAGCGGCCAAATGTATCGTACAGTGTCTTTTCATCCACTCCAGGATCAAGGTTACCAATGAACAGCTCTGCGCCAATCTCAACATTCTTCTGCTTATCTGCGGACGCCTTGTTAACACGTATCCGACTTCCGTATAGCGCAACGTTGTTCATGATCTTGGGCGCGTAATCTGCCTCTGCTTCCGTGTGGAACTCGACGAAACCGAACCCTTGATGTTGGCCGTTGACGCGATCGACGGGCATGTTGACATTTCGTACTCGGCCGGCGTTGAGCATCAGCTCGTGAAGGATGCGGGGCGTGATGCGCTCATGGAGGTTTCCGACGTAGACTGTGGCTTCTTTATTCTGTTCCCTGCGCATTTGTGAGTTCATGTTCGCTACTTGTCCGCTACTCGGAATGCTGCAACTTACCAGTGACGCGCACTCGGGGCCGACATGTTGAAGGGCTGCTGTCTATGGGCTCGAAACTCTGAATCCTGGGTCGCAACAGAAATTCGGGCGATTCAGCTGGGGTCGTGAGGCGTCGTGAATGGGGATTGGTGTTCAGGAACGAAGTGAAGGCATCTCGAAGATATTGGAGCTCCAGTCCGAGCTTGCGCTAACACGCATGCGGCTAATCCCAAAACTTTGAGCTTTACGCATCATCGCAACTTCGTTCGCTGGGCCCGCCTTCACCCATTACCGCATACAACTCGACCACCTCAACCCCAGGCCGACTACATACTCAATATGTACCAGCTGTCAGAAGAGTCCAAGGTCCGTCAATACGCCAAGTACATGTAGATCGGGCTTCCGTTGACTCCACACAGGAGCGCATCGCGCGCATCATCGATGTCTCCCGCGTCGCTATCCATTACGGCTACCTGCCTTTGATCCTATACCTCGGATACTCCCGAAGCGAGCCTAAGCCTTCTCTCATCCGGTGAGTACACCGCATATCCCCGCCTTTCCTATACAAGCATGAGGTCGCTCTTCACAATGGGAAAGAACTTCGCCGGCTGTGGAAACCAGCCCGGTGACTGCCGAAGACTGGAAGCAGACTATGACAAGGATATAATGATCTTGATTCTCCAAGATTACGCAAAAGCTATAATGGGCCAGCCTAGCAGTGTCAGTGGAAGACCAAGGCATCTATGGGAATTATGGTCTTTCTGCTCTTCCAGTCGCTTGCTTCTGTTCTGAACCTCCTCCCGAAAATACCGCTTCATCGTGGCTGATGTACGTTTGGGAACTTCGCTGACCTCTCTAGTCTTTTCTCTCCCCTCGCATAAGCACCAGACGACGATATGACAACAACGATTTGCGATTCATTGTACAATACTACACACTCTAGGCGCATGGATTCTCGAGTATGATTTGGACCGTGTTGGTCGGGAAGACGGGCTATACAAGTACCATGGGTTCGAAAATTCCTCTACTCTATCAGGTCGCACGGAAGTCGGCAAAACGTATCCCACAGGAGGCGGGATTTGTACATGTATACCAAAGTCTTAATACGAATTGACGGTACCCTGCAGGACGGCCGGTGCCATGGCTGCCCGGTCCGAGTGGTAGCCCGCTTTTTGCACCAAACACATTCGTCTTGCGCATGCGTGTCACAATTGCTGGAACTGGCGGAGTCTAAGCTTGCGCGCGCGTCGGTCCTCATTGAGCCCAGCGCCGGTTGGCAGGTATTGACAGCTACGCGGGGCAAATGCCGGTTGTGCGGTTGACGCCAATGGCGAGACGCTACCTGACCCACGTGGTATCCCGGTCGAGCATCGCGACCCATGCTCCTCCATTCTCAAACTCTGCGAACTGGAACACCCGGCCACCGGTCCCCACAGTACAGGCGGGCAGTCGTTATGGAGTCTTATATCCCAGGCGCACGGCGCTGGGCCTGCTCTAGTTTGTGCTGCGAATCCTCATCGCATAGCCCCCACGCCTCCCGTGTCCACAGTATATCGAGAGCTCCCCCGGATGTTCTCTGCCTATTCTCTAGACCTTATGGACACTTCGAATTGCTATCAACATCCCCATCCGTGCGCTGTCTTACTACCTGGCTGATTGCTCAACTTTGTGCATGACCCGTCATCGTCCGCCACCATGACCGTCCCCAACATTGGGGACATCTTGGTGCTGTCGCAAAAGGCTTGGAAGATTGGACGCACCTTTTCTGCTTGCCAAAAGAATGCACCAGTGGAGCTTCAATATGTTGAGACGGAAATTGGCAGCCTCGCAAAATCACTGGCATCGTTGGCAGAGACGCTGCACGCGGAGTCCGTGCGGCAGTTGTTACAGGACGCTGACCAGGAAATAAAAGACGGCGTTGGCACCATCCTAAGGTCTTGTCAACGGACTGTAGATGATCTTGACTCGCTGATCGACCAATACCAAGTCATCAAGAAGCACCGCACAGTTGGAGGGTTCGCAATCGAGCGCTCGTGGAGCGATCTGGTATTATCCTCATACAGGACGATGATCTGGACTCCCGAGGGCGGAAACCTCGCAGATCTGAAAGAGATGTTACAGACACATACGAACTCTATCGATGAGTTGACGGAAGCATTGCAAAGGCTAGTGCTGCCAAGTCCATGTCACACACCTACTGACCATGGTGCAGCAAGTCTATGGCTCGTATGGACAGCACCGTCATACCAATTGCAGAGCGAATCGATAACATGCACCACTCGGCTGGAAGCATCGATCAGCAGCTTGATGAAGTACATCGTATGGCAGAGGACCTAATGATTGCACCACACACTTCACATGTGCCACCCGTACCCGCAAAGAACCCTGCGCGTTCACCGACCACCGAAAGCGCCGACCCATTGAGCCAAACATACCATGCTTTTTCTCCCCCAGAATCTCCACCCAGGTCACAAAATGTCAAAATATCTCTACCACGGATCCCGCAGCGCTCAGAGTTCCACGAACAGTCCTCTATAGTCAGATTCAACGATGATGCTCCTGTTCCGACATCTCCGGCGGATGTCGTGTCCGCCTCAAGAACATCCTCACCTGCTCAAAAACGTGTGTCGGAATTTAGCTTTGGTGGCTCATCTTTGCGATACTCCAGCAGTAGCTATGCATCGTCTGACGCTTGTTCAAGCTCAGTCGGTTGGCAAAGTCCATCTTCGTTACTACCTGAGTCTCGACTGAGCGGACAGTTTTCGACATCGACCAAGAAAACATCACCTCTACCAAGGACACCGGAAGTATGCAAGCCGGGCCGAAAGGCTGACAATCGGTATCACACGCTACTCCCACCTCCGGCTATGAAGCTCGGCTCACTCTATGAACTCGAAAGAACACCTACTCAAACATCGCATGCCATGTTAAGCCCTTATCCTTCGTTGCAACCAGAGATCATGAAACTTCACAGAAGTTCAACCACTACCAGTCAAAAAGCCGCCTTCGAAAAGGAAGCCTTTCGAAACTCCGCCATTCTATGTGATGTGTAAGCCGACTTTGCTCTTAGTCCGTTCCTCTCAGTGTACGTGTTTAGCCATGCTGACCACAGATAGTCGCGGTTCGCTCGTCGAATACTCGCACCGGATAAACCAGGACGACCCCAGAGACGTCGAAATGATCCAGGCTTCCGAAGAATGCAGGATCGCCGTAGTACGGAAACGCATAACCGACCCTGAGACGAAGGCAGTGCGCGTCGTGACATCCGTATGGGCGTTTAGCGACGACAACACCACCCGCGTGGAGCTACGTATGGAAGACGACCAGATGTACATACCGTACTCTAGCTACTTCAACCCAGCCAAAGCCTCCATCACAGTCCTCTGCGAGCTGATATTTCACGACGTCAAGCACGGCAACCGGCCAGTGCGTGTAGAAAAGACTAGCTGGGTCAACTACGTCTTTGACTCACCACAAGGTAGACTACTGAAACAGCATCTAAGGAAGAAGACGATGACTAACTGCATACCCAGCGGCCGCACTCTTCCAAAACGAACTAATGGGCCGCACCCTCCTTGCGACATTCCGCACAGAGAAAACAATGCGCATCCACGAAGGCCTCTCCAAATCCTTCTCCTACGCCGAGCAAATGTGCGGACTGGAGAACCTCCGCGTCTGGGAAGATAACGACACAGGCGCCATCATCGCCCTAATCCATTTCTCCGCCGACTTCCGAAACGGCTACTTAGCCTTCTACCTCAACTCCTCCGTCAACCCTATCAAAGTGAAAGACGGCGGGGACAGAGAGGTCAAGATCAAAGGGCTGAGGGTGCCGATTGATCGCGGCGATCGCGCGATGAGGAAAGACAGTTTTGCGGAAGCTGCCACTGCTTCTGTTACAGGGAAAGGCAAGGAGAAAGTGGGGGCTGGGAAGAGTGTGGACAAGGGGAAGGTTATCAGCGGGGCGAAGATTGAGTTTGCGACGGAGATGGAGAAGAGGGAGTTTTTGGAGATGTGTAGCGAGATGCAGAGGGAGTTGATTGAGTTGCCGGATTTGCTGGGGGTTAATTGAGATGATGACTGGGTGGGAGGGGAATGGTTGGATGTAGGCATTGTTTGATTGTGCTACACTTTTATGAAACGCAAGAGCTTTTCTTTTGACATGAAATCCTTTTGACGTGTGAAATATCCTTCATGAGCACGCGCATCAATTACCGTAATATCCGGATAATCTCTCAGAGTTTCCACTCGCCTTCGGCCCAGAATCTGTTGTAGTCCTCCTCACACCACTCATCCCAGCGTAAACGGCCTTCCGCGAGAACGGTCCTATGTTTACGGCGACTGCGAAACTCAGCCTCGACACTTGTTTCACCTACGCGGACCGATACACTGGTATCTGTTCCTGCGGAGGTCAGGGTGTGGATCCTTACACGAATGTCCCATGGGGGATCATATGGACCCAAAGCTCTACCAAAATCCCTCACCGCTTCAGCTGTCTTCCCAACGCCTGCGGTTTCAGTTCCCTTCGTAACGGAAACGTGAAAAATGCGAGACGGGTAGGCTCGAAAAAACTCTCCGAACTTGCCCCAGAATTCGTAGCCAGGTAACGACGCGCTGCTGCGGCGGAGGTGAAGCATGTACCCAGCCTTGCGAATGAAGTAGAGTAGACGAAAGACTCCCTCTTCGAACGTGCCATCCTCCATGAAATATCCATAGTCTTTGAGAAGAGAGGACATGTCGAAGCCTCGGTAAGCCAAGAAGGTATCGCAGTCGGCGGACCAGGGTGTGTCATAGCAAAAGCACCAGTCCACTGCTGCCTTGATGATTCCCTTCGGCGCACCAAGAACAGGCAGAGCGAGGATTTCTGTTTCGATCTTGGGCGCGGTGCCAGCGACAAAAGGAGGCTGCTCGACCACTCCTCCAGGTAGAAGCTGCTGTGCGGTCTTGCGGACGACAGCTACGGCTTCGTTGTGGACAGTCTTACATGTAGTAAGAATGGCAGTCGGCGGTTCATGATTAATGAGGGTGAAGCTGCTCTCAGTTGTTCCGTCGCTGCTGCGCTTCACATATCGAGTACGAGTGGTACGGTTCGGCAGGAGCTCATACACCATCAGTCGCAATTCTGTAGGCAAGTCGAGGAACCCCAGGGGTCGGGATTGCGCGTTCGTCATGATTGATCGTGGAGCTTCAAAGTCCTGGATTAGCTTCATAGTATTGTGAATTTTCTGTAGACTTTACCTTGTTGCTTCGTTGCAGTGCAATGAAGTGAGTCTTATTGGGGCGCAAGGTGCTTGTATCCACCACGGGTAGTAGTGGTTTTGGCCACCGGGCTGGCGCTTAACAATCTGGGCTCGATCGCGGGGCCAGTGAGTCGTAGTGGGGGAGTAGGTAGGATGGAGAGTACCTAGGTATCTGGTAGGGGAAGAGCAACTGCTCGTAGCCAGATTGGGAAGCACAGACTGACGCTAACCCATTCGCGGAAGGCTAGGCAGCGACGCGCAAGGAACTCGAGGTCAAGGTAAGTGTGGACATCAAACCACAAGTTGTGCGCGGCAGTAGGACAAGAAAGATATTAAGAGATTAAGCGCTAATTTGATAGAGCGATGAAGATACTACTATTATTACACATGTTCTACTTTTCCAGAATAAATCAAAGCTGGACGCTCTTGCCGTCTTATCTTCGCCTTTACCTTCACTCTGCCTCTAACTCCGCCCACACCTACACACCGACGCGAAAAGAGACCAAAACAACACCACCCCAGCATTCTATCCCAGCCTCGAACCAACACCTCTACTCAGATCTCAATTCAATCAATGTCTTTGGATTCAGTCTCTTCCTTTTCTTACTTCTTGGAATTTCACTTTCCGGATCGTTTACACAGCCCTCAGACATAATAAGTTATGAGTCTGCGACTCTGCTCTACTGTAACCACACCGCAATGCCATCGAGCAGAAACACTAGATCGAAAGGCGGACACCTCACTTCTTTCTCGGTTCGTGCTTGGTGAAGACATTGCTTCTCTTATCCATGTCATCTTTCTAGTCATAACATCTTGTCAGCGTATCCTAGACTAGTATACCGCATCGCATTCTCTAACTAAACAAACACAAGCCTTAGCTGCGCAAATATAGTAATGCAATTATAGCACAGAATAGATGCCTTTAAAACGCAGCTGTAGTATTAGAATACAGTTTAGCTTGCCTTGTCTTGCTGCAATGTAAAGAAACACATGTTCAAAAAAGAGCATTAGTACACAGGATCGAACAGGCGCGAAAGTTGGGAAGCAAAAATACATGGAGCTCGATGTGTTGCGTACGACTCAGCCATCCTTCCGGTGGAACATTGTCAAAGCCTGCAAACTGACGATGGAGTCTTACAGAATTTCAACCTACATGTATTGCCATCCGCTACATACATGGCTTTGCTGTCCACGTTCACCTGGCAACGCTTTACGATAGGCGCACCCGAGCGTTTGCTCTCACTCACTCCCGCACCTCCACACCGAGCCCCACTATGTTTATATATCTTGGCGCCTGTCTTGACAATTCTGACTTTCTCGCTTTTGCCCTGCCTCTTCACTGACCCTGCGAAGGAACTACGCGCACTGCCGATACTAACAATGGCGACTTCACTGCCCACCGAAGCCCGCGGGACCAAGCGCAAAGGCGAAGACGTCGACAACGAGGATATTATCAGTCCAGAGGCGCAGAAGATCAAGACGTTTATTCGTGGCGGATTCCACAAGGTCCTAGCCAAACTTGGATACCACAGAGAGATCAGCAAGTCAGACTTGCGTTCGGATCACGAAATCACCAACTCGTATGTGTTTCTCATTCTGTTCACGATCGCAAACTAACTTGCACAGCTGCCTGGCCGACTTGGCCAAGTCTTTGCCACAGAAATTTCCCATCGCTGGTCCTGGCAGAAGCCTATGGAAGTGCCATGCGCAGGTCGCCGCCACCTACTCACCCGTCATGCGGGGTCTGATTGAGAAGCATGTAAGTGTTTGAGTTCATCTGGTTTAGGGGTCCACTCACGACTTCAAGTGTATTGATTCTAACGTGTGAAAATAGAAGCAGATCTTTGTTATGGAAGACTGGCCTGCGTACGCCATCGACGCCATGGTGGACTTCTTTCGTCACCACAAGGCTTACCGCATCATCACTCCTCTCGACCGCCACAAGCTCATGTACTTGGACCCTAAATCCGACGCTTCCGTTGAAGCTATTCCTTCCGATGTGTGCCTCGCTCACGTTCACCTCGATATCTTCAAGCTAGCATATGACTGGAATATCAACCATCTCCAGGAATTCGCTCACAATGCATTGGTCAAGGCATTGGCGGGTCAGCCTACGCTGGCTCAGTTCAAGCACATGCTTGTTAGCACTGGCATATTTACAGAAAAGTATTGCACGCCTCCTGCTTCCGAGGATCATCTTCTGAACCTGGTGTTGATGGCTTTGGGTACTTATGGTGCTATGGTTCACGATGCCTGGATGAGGGAAGAGAATCGTCAAGAATATGTCAACCTCTACATTGTCGCACCTTATTTCGCCGTCTATCGCGATCTGGCGACACCAGGACATAGCGTCCATTTTGCTGAGTGGTCAAAGGAGGTAAACGCGAAGCGGCAGAAGATCGAGGGCTCCGGTTCCATGCAATTGTCATAGCATACAACAGCTCCACCCATCATCTCAACACCTCAAACATCCCCAGCAGCCAACTTCATAATTACGACTAACTTCAATGATTCTTCAGCTATCTGCGTGGTATCCAACGTGGTCAAACATGCAACAAGTCGCGCGCCTTACTCCAAAGAGCCTAACCAATCCATTCGAATTCCAATTCATCCATATCCTCCATCCTAGCCGTGTATACCACCTCAATAACCAACTTAACAGCGGGACTCATGACTCCAAAACCAGCCACTGACTATGCAAAAGAACCCTAAGAAAAAGAATCCACCAAACGATACACCGCTGAGCGATCTCAATATCCAATCCATGCTATTATCCTATCCAAACTCTTGTGTTGGTTCCCAGACGGCTGGCTATACAAACGCCGGGGTAAGAAGAACCCTATGCTCGAGATCGGTCGTGTTCTACTCGCCGTTGACCTCCGGCTCGGGAGCGGTGCCGTTGGCGCGGTCGGCGCCCATGTACCGCTGCATGTATGTGATGTAGTCGAATTTGGGTATGTCGCGGTCTTCTGCCATATCTGGGCCTTTGTGCTCAGGCATGGTGGAGAGGAGGTCGTCGATGACTTCGTCGGGGACGAGGGAGTGGCGGAGGTCGAGTTCGGTCACGTATGGCTGGTGGAATGTTAGTAGCTGGTGATACATGGAGAAATGAGGGAAAGAGGTGGGTATAGACTGACCTTGCCGTCGGCGACCTCTTTGAAAGACTCAAAGACTTGCTCCGCGGTATTTTGATCCTCGGTTTCGTCCACCATGAATCGGATAAACTGCTCGAATGTAACATAGTCTTTGCCACCACTAGTTTCGCGGAATCTCTCGTGCATTTCTTCTTCATCGTATACCAAGCCCAAACTAGCCAATGCAGCAGAGAACTCCAATTCTGCTAACGAATTCGATACGTCGCGGTCAAAATGCCTGAATACTGATTCAAACTCTTCAAGCTGTATTGGGGTGAGATTGGTCATGTTACGTGCCACCATCTGGTTTTCCAAGAAGGCAAGCTTCTTCGATACCGAACTGCGGACCAAGCCCAGCTCGTATTCTAGCTCGTCGTATGTGTATGTTGTGAAGTCGTTCTCCTCGATGTTCGCTTCGGCGCATTGCTCGTCGATGGACGCTATGAGGTTCAGGTATTCGTCCAGGGGTGCAAGCGACTTGCTGATTTCCTTTGTGTGCTCTAGCTGGTCCTCAACATCGCCTTCCAACGCTGATATCGATGTAGAGAGTGTGTTGAGGGCCAGGGCGAAGTCGTTTGCTTTGTCGGCGAAGGATTTCCGCAGAGCGTTCTTGATGTCTCTGATTGTCTCGTTGATGACCTGGGAGCGTTGCCTCTCGGCCTTCATCAACCCCGTCCAGGCGGTGTCCAGTGCTTCGAGGCTGAGCTCCGCGGGCGGATCGTACGGTCGCAACCGGTATGTGGCCAACTTCGTCCTTATATTCCCTAGTAGTCCCACCAGGTCTGACTTCTCGGCTACCCATGTTCGCTTGCTCTTGCGCTTCCAGGCGGTGAACTCGGTCGACTGGTTCCTAGCGTCTGCGTATGTCCCGTCGAACTTGGCCTCCTCCCATTGTGTGCGCTGCTTGGCGATCTGGTCCAGCAGCTCGCGCATGCGTCGCTCGAAGTCGTTCTGCATCTGCCAGGCTCCCTGCATATTTGCGACGAACTTCTCGACTCGCCGCCCAGCATTCTCCACGCGCTCCATCTGCGAGAAGGCGTGGAACCAGTAGGCAATGTATGTCATGAGTGAACGCTCGTCGGGCTTCGCGACGTCGCACACGTCCTCCACATCCAGCAGGTCGGGGATACCAATCTCTTTGGAGGCGATATCGAATGCAAGCTGCATGTTGCCGCGGTGGTCACTCTTGTCTAGGCTGTCGTAATCGATGAGATCGGGACGGTGGATGTCGAGCAGGGCGCAGCTGTCTGTTGTTAGCCCAGTCTTCCACCAAAGAGTGCTCCACCTACAATGCCAGTCCGTCGTTCCAGCTCGTAGAGAAGTCACGGACTTCAACCTCATCGTAGCAGGCCGTCTTCCGCTGACACCACAGCAGCAGACCCTCCTTGGCACTGAGACCCTCTTCGTTGATGTCGCTGATGGTGAAGCGCAGAATGAGGGTCCATATCAGGCCCAGGATGATCTTGCTGTTGCCGTCGACGACATCTTCGGCACCGGTATTGGTAAGCTGGATCCTCCGACTCCGGATGAAGTCGAGCGACTTGTTGACGTTCTCAAACTTCTGCACGCGCAGCTTGGGTCGGGAGGCATAGCGGCCGAGGGATTCGTTGCTGAGGATCTCGAGGAGGTGTATGAGTATGATCTAGGGGGCGTTAGGACGTGATGCGGGGAGAGGCCATGTTGGGGGCCAAGCGGGGCACGTACACCGTCCGAGAGGTCGATGATGAGGTCCTTGATCTCGACTTCGCGGATCTTGAGCTTGCTGTTCAGCCTGCAGCGGTGTGAGTAGTAGTGTCGGGGCCGGGGCGGCGGCGGGGGTTGCAGCGTACCACTTGGTGAATGTCTTCTGCTGGACCTTGACCCATTGCTGTTCAAGCGGCGCCATGATCAGTGTGCATCAGGCCTCTCACTCGGACTGGGCGCATGCAGGTAGGAATATATTTGGGTGGATACGGGATGCTAGCTGGCGACTACTCGGGCGTGTTTTCCAGAGTCCTGGCCCAAAACAATGAATGGCTGACTGCGGGCGCGGCTTCGGCTGTCGCTGCACCCCTGTCCCAGTAGCGGGGCCCCTGGATCCACACGGCCTTGGGCGCCCGAGTCGCCTCTGGTTGGCTGGCTGCGACGACACGCGATATCTGGTTGACAGTCTCTTCGTCCAATACTTGCTGAGACCGAGAGACAATGCTCAAGATACTCTTGGAGTAGCGCGTGTATTCAGCCTGTCTATTCACTTGCCTCGTGGCTGCACCACGCCGGGTACAGCAGGCGCCACACGCCACATTGGTCCTTCATCGCTCTTGCCTGCATCATGGCTGTAGACGCGTCTCAAGATGCCGCGTCGCTGCCATATCACGAGCCGGGCATCGTTGTCATTCTCGTGCTCACGTCTTTCCTCCTCCTCCTCAACGTCGTCAATGCTGCTCTCGACAGGGTGCTGTACTGCGGTCTGCTGGGCCAGGTTTTGGTTGGCATTGCATGGGGCACGCCAGGTGCGAAGTGGCTATCCGAGAGCTTAGAAGAGACGGTCGTGCAGCTAGGCTATCTGGGATTGATACTGCTTGTCTATGAAGGTCCGCATGCACTGCATCAGCCAACCCATCCCATGTCTGTAGCATTGACTAACGCTCACCAGGCGGGCTCTCTACTTCGTTCCAATCTCTCAAGGCGAATCTGCTTCTATCTTCTGGCGTCGCACTCACAGGAATTCTGGTTCCTATCGGGCTCTCGTACACTCTGCAAGGCTTACTGGATGCTAGCCCAGTGCAAGCTTTCACCGCTGGCGCTGCTCTATGCTCCACCAGCCTGGGCACAACCTTCACGGTTCTCGGGTCGAGCGGCTTGGCCACCACCCGCCTAGGCGTTGTTCTCACAAGTGCCGCTATGATGGACGACGTCGTGGGGCTAGTCATGGTGCAAGTCATCTCCAACTTAGGTGGCGACAACTTCAGCTGGGTAACAGTCGTTCGCCCAGTCTTCGTTTCGCTTGCTTTTGCGGTTATCGCACCTCTTGTCTGTCTCTTCGTCGCGAAGCCTTCGACCGCATGGCTGAACGCGTACCGCGAAGCTCACCCGGGCGAACATCTGAGTGCCTTGCTACAGCGAACACAGACAGCCTTCGTGATCCACACACTGGTTCTCATTGCTCTTGTCGCGGGAGCTACATACGCGGGCACATCGAATTTGTTCGCTGCGTATATCGCGGGAGCTAGCATTAGTTGGTGGGACTCTGACGTGCCCCATCCTACAAGCACTTCAGCTACGAATGCTGTAGATGAGAAAAGACAGGCAACTGTCGGTCCAATGCTTGAGAGCTCAGAAGGCTCGTCTCCCCATGCGTCAAAGACCACAGCAGACCAAAATCAAGGAGCAATTCCGTCTCGACCCACCAACATGGAGAGTGAAGAGCATGTGGTTGCGACCGGTGGTGCAGCCATCTACGAGCAGTACTACCATCCCGCAGTGTCGAAGATCCTACAACCGTTCTTCTTCGCATCAATCGGCTTCTCGATACCCATCACACGAATGTTCAGAGGCGCGATAGTCTGGCGAGGCATCGTCTACGCTGTTCTCATGACCTTCGCAAAGCTTGTGTGTGGTCTCTGGCTCGTCCGGGTTTCCATATTTCCAGGCAAGAAAGCACCCGGCAGGTTTTTGTTCAAGGTGCGCCTGCCGTCGGTGCCTCACCTGTGGGGAAAGAGCGGCGGCGCACCTCCCACGCAAGAAGGAGTCACTCCAACGCAGGCAAGAGCTACCCCATCGCGAACCCGCCCGACAACTTCACCAAGTAGTACTGAAAGCGAGGCCCGATCTTCGCCCAATCCACCAAAGCCCTTTTCGCTGCACCCGCCACTGATCCTCGCCTTTGCAATGTGCGCTCGTGGAGAGATTGGCTTCCTAATTTCCGGTGTCGCCGAGTCCCAGGGCGTCTTTGGAGAGACTTCAGGCGAGCCAACCGACATATTTCTTGTCGTGACTTGGGCCATCGTTCTGTGCACTATCCTGGGTCCTCTGGCTGTTGGACTATCCGTTCGCAGGGTAAAAGCACTCCAAGCGCGCAAGAACAAGGAACAGGAGGGCGCGGGCAGGGACGTTTTGGGCGTTTGGGGTGTAGAATAGACCAATCTCCGGAGCGAACCAAAACTATCGAAATGCGGTCGCAACATGCCCGGGCAGGTTCAGTGCGCTCGACTTTTGCTGCAAACTGTTCACTTTGTGCACATGCGCCCCTGTTGTCATGACGTGCATCGCCGGGTGTCGCGACAGGGATAGCGGCTGTAATGGTGGGGTCGGAGGC